CAGGTAGTGCCCTTCCCTCGATTAAGGTAGCGGTGTTATGATGGATATCCAGGATTCATAACCCGCCGAAGAACTGGACGGCGCCCAACCTCCCACAGCTCAATCACAGTCAAGTTCAGGCAGTGCAGAAGGCTCTAGAGCAACCTCTATCGCTTATTCAAGTATTGTGCTGCGTCGGTGCTTCTCTGTTGTATGTCCTTCTTATCGTAGGGGCCTCCTGGTACCGGCAAGACGGTGACTTCAGCGACTATTATTTATCACTTAGCACGTCAGCATCAGGGACAGGTGGGGTTCATCGTCCTTGCTTGTTGTTGGAGATCTCATTCTGGCAAGGTCCTTGTGACGGCTCCCTCGAATATCGCCGTTGATCAGCTGGCCGAGAAGATCCATCTCACTGGGCTTAAGGTGAGAGTCGTACTTGGTAGCTGCCGAACTGAATGGTTTCTTGAATAGGTCGTGCGTATTTTGGCAAAGTCTCGAGAGTGTCTGTACTCTCCTGTGGAGTTCCTATCGTTGCATACGCAAATACGTAATATGCGTACACCGCAAGCTAAGGAGTTCAAGAAGCTGTTTGATTTGAAGGTGGAAAAGTTGGTGGGAAAACTGATGCGTTACTTGTTGTGATTAGGAAGAAGTAGGGGAGCTGACCTCAAGTGATGAGAAGCGTTTCAGGATCCTCAGGAGCCAGGTGGGGTGGCGCTCTAATGTATGGTGGAAAGCTGCTGTTCTTAGGTCGAACGTGAACTGCTTGAGAATGCTGATGTTATTTGCACGACTTGTGCAGGGGCTGGCGATCCTCGACTAGGGAAGCTGCGTTTTAAGATGGTAGTAGAGTCCTCGCTAGTCAACAGGCTTTAGTCCGTGTCTAGGTCTTGGTGGATGAGGCGACGCAGGCCTGTGAGCCAGAGGCGCTCATTCCTATCTGTAACGGTGCTAAGCAGGTGACCATCGTTGAGGGTCAGATGTCTCTCGAGTAAGGGAATGCTCTCAGGTGATACTGGTGGGTGACCATAAGCAGCTCGGCCCAGTGGTGATGTGTAAGAAGGCGGCGAAGGCTGGCTTTAAGCAGGTAGGATTCCAGTATGGGAGAATATGCATATGGTCAACCACATGTGTTGGTGACAAGATGGAAATTCTGAGGACCTGGGAGAAATTCTCATTGGTTTCTACATGAATTGGCATACGAACTCCTATGATTAGTGGAGAAACTCCTGAGCTCAGCTGAGGAAAGCTCCATATACTCCAACACTGCTTCATCCCATGTCGTGGAATACACTGTCGTTGTTAGTCCTTGTTTGAACGTCTTATCGCCCTCGGCGTTCGACCGATCCGGCTTGAAGTGCAGTACCGTATGCATCCGAGCCTTGCGGAATTCCCGAGTCAAGTAGGCGAGCTCTCTAGTGGAAAGTAAGTATACATGATAATTGCTTTTCAGACATTCTATGATGGCTGCCTACAGAATGGCATTACTATGGAAGATCGACAGGTCTCTGGTGTGAAGTTCCCATGGCCCAGGGAGGAGATGCCGATGTTCTTCTACAATTCTACAGGTCCATACCACTCCTTCCCGACTTCTTGCAATCGTCCTCTTGTCTAGGCCAGGAAGAGATATCGGCTTCTGGCACGTCCTATCTCAACCGATCTGAGGCTATCAACATCGAGAAGATAATTACTTACTTCCTTAGGGCGGGTCTGAAGGTGTGTTAGTGACAGTGATGAGAATAATACGACTTTACCTTTCAGGGTTCCCAAATAGGCGTGGTGACTCCCTACGAAGGACAGAGAGCGTAAGGTGTGGTAGCGCGTCTAAGGCTCAGCGGGCTCTCTCTAAGGTACATTCAGCAAGTTCTGCAGAGGCAGACTACCTTGAGTGCCAAGATGTATGAAAGCATTGAGATTGCTAGTGTTGATGCATTCCAAGGTAATGTGAATATACGCATATGATCAACTACATGTGTCGGTGATAGTATGAAAATTCCGGGGAAATTTTGGGAAGCTCTTCTTGGTTTCTGTACACTTCTATTTAAATTTCTATGTGAACTTTGGTAACTGGCTAGGGTGACGAAAGCGAGCATATATTCGAGCACAGTCATCGGTTGGTCTCAGGTCGAGAGAAGGACTTCATCGTTTTATCGTGTGTTCGGTCGAACCAAAGGGCTGGCCTTGGATTCCTCAATGATCCTCGACGTCTCAATGTTGCCCTAACGAGAGCTCGGTGAGAGATGGGCGGTGAAGTGGTGGATGTGTAGTGATGTTAACAGGTATGGTCTCGTTATATGCGGTAATGCACAAGTTCTCGCAAGGGCAACTACTGTTGGCCATCAGGGCAGAGGTAGAATGACTGTCATTCGTTGTTATTGTTACTGTGCTTCTGAACCGACACTGCTATCGTCGATGATCATGGTTAGTATGAAATTGATTAGTGTTTGCCTACCAGGTTCCATGCCGTCCGTGTGGAATGGACTCTTGTCGCACATGAAGAAGTTCGACCTCATCGTTGAAGGACCCCTCTCGGCCCTACGTCAGAGTCATGTAGGTTGGCTCTAGCGGGCAGTGTGGGATATTGTGCACATATTTAATTACGTGTGTTGTTGACAATATGAAAATTCTGAGGAAAATCTCGTTGGTTTCTGTACACTCCTACCCGAAGTCGTATATGAACTACTATAGTTGGTGAGGAAGCTCCTGAACTCAGCTGGGGAGAGCGAACATATATCTCTCCAACACTGCTAGTTGACAATGCCTGCATTACGATCGCCTCAGATCCAAATTGATGATCCTGTGGTACCGGTAGCATCCTATCGTGGGTCTTCGGGTAACCGTAGCCAGTCAGCGAGAAGCTTTGCTAGAGATGCACTAACTCAGGTGTGACTGACTAAGAGTCTATTGTTGTTGAATCATTCTATCAGGATGAGCCACCACTGTTCGACAGTGACTACTATAGGGGTATACCTCAGAGTGTCCCTGCTCCCGAGGCGGCAATGCGGGCACCTAGTCAATACTTCCAAAGTATCAACAGGATGAGAAATCTGTCTCTGCTCGACTTCATGTGCTTCAGATGATCTTACACCGGCTGGTCCTCGCGATAGGGCTCCTAGAAGTGATAGACGTCGCCGAGTTGGTGGTGGTAGCAGTAGTGCTAGTGGCTATAGCGAGAGCCAGATGTCCCAAGATGCATTCGCAACACCGACTCCAGGGGCATCCTATGGTGGACCTTCTATGAGTAGGCACTTTCTTGTGCATGTTGCCTCTTAGCATGGTTCCTCTTTGTTTTTAGCTGGGAGCACTCAACAGTCGCAGATGAGTCAACAGACTGATGCTTGGTGATGATAACGTTTACGACTAGCTCTACCGCCCCGCTGCTGCCGCCGCCTCCCTTCATCGACCACTCCAGGCCTGACCTATGCTGTTGAAGGACTACCGAGTTTGGGGCGCGGGAGAGTTGAGTAGGACGTAGTCATCATCATCACCACAGTCTGACGATGTGCACAAGTCACGGCATTTGTTGTTCTTCCTGCTGCTGCCTGTGCTGTTGTGGGTTCGTCGATATGTTGCCCGTGGTGATCTTGAGTTTTCATAGACGACAGTATATCTGTACACTAAGACCAAGTACAAGTACTTCACGATGTGTGTGACTTCTGGTTAACTATCGTTGTTCTATTATGATTATCATCACTATTATCATCATTCGGCAACAGCATGGGCACAGTGTTAGTTCTTCGTGACGTGTGCGTTGTCAGTACTACCATCAGTACCATTGGTAGCTTATAGAATAAAACTATCATCATCATCTTCTTCGCTCATTGACGTTATTATGAATCGTATTGCTTTACTGTCTCGATGCATCTCCTATCTGATAGATCAGTGCGAGAAGAGAAGCTGTGTGTGGGTCTCCAACACTCACGTAGACCTACTTGCACTATAGACTAGCAAACATAGAGCTCTCCCGACACTTTCAGCGTTGTGTTGTCAATGAATTGAGTGTTAATTGCGATTGGAGTGGTATATCTATTCGACATGGATTGTGTGTGCTGTTATGTTCTATTGAAACCAGCTTTCGATCAACATCTCCGCTTTATTCCCTATCGTTCTTCTCCTTCGATCGTTGGCTAGCAAAGCCTTTGGAATTCGCATTTGAACCTTGCACCTACGAAGGGTTCTCCGCAGTAGTCAGGTTGAGCGCTCAGTCGATATCGCATTGACGGCCAAGGAAAGTCGATCACCGATTCCTGATTTAGGGTTGAGGTTTGGGGAATAGGCAGTACCAAATTTAGCTAAGATTGGAACAACAGCAATCCTCTTGTAGGACCAAGACACTTCCAGGCACATGACATGGAAACCACATCTTTTAAGGCGTCATCCAAATTACTTTTGCTGTAGTATGAGATCGTTCTTCATGTTGGGGCGTGCGGTGGGTATGTACTCTTGACAGTGATGTTGTATCAGCCGAGCTGATCACTATAGAGACTG